TATTTATCTATCACAATTCATGTAATATGACATTATAAACAATATTAATAACATAGAAACATGATATATATTCTAGAATGAATAAAATGCAGTGGACCCCCGCCTTACGATCAGCTCCCAACTCGACCAATTATGCAAGTGTATTTTTGTAAGTGCTTTTGTACGTGTATTTTTGGGGGTCTGAAACGAACTAATCTAATTCACAATATTCCTTATGGGAACAAATTCGGTATCTAACAGCACCCGAACAGACTTCTGGAATGAAATAATATCGTAAGGCGGGGGTCCACTGTATGTCATAATGTATGAGAGGAGTAAATGGTGTAAGTGTTATTGTTGGGTTTAAGGGCTGCCACTGAGAGAAGCCGTGTTGGTGGCGGTGGAGGATTTTGCCAGCACCACCATCACACTTAACCCTTTCAGGGTCGGCAGGCCCTCTCCTAAACTTGTTCTCAGGGTTAGAATTTTTCAAAAAAAAAAATAAATAAATAATTATTTTTTCTTATGAAATGATAGAGAATCTTTACCCGATCATAATGACACCAAAAGTAAGAAATTTGATGGAAAACTTACGGAATTATGCTCTCGCGAAGTTAGCGGTCTCGATGATGTTTACGCATCAGCGATTTCGCCCACTTTGAGCCCTATTCTCAGCCAATTCCAATGTACCAGTCAACAAAAATCATAACTATTTCGCTAGAACTCCATTTTTTCTATCAAATGAGTACAAAAACCACCCATTTACCGATTTCAACTATCCAATAAAGTGGTCAGAAATTGGCAATTTTGCCGAATTTCACACAAATTTCAAAAGATGCCAATTTCCAAATAGGGTCCAGAATAAACAAGACAGACATTTCTGGCACTAAAATAACATTTCCTCTGTTCATTAGTCACGTCCCCAGGCCTCTGTTACATTTCTTTTGCTTTCCACTTTGAATTTTTATTCTCACAAAATATAGAAGATTTACTGTTATGCAGTGCACTGCATTAGTGTAGAAATGGTATAAATAATATCAGCGCACTTGTGAAAGAATATTAGACTTACCAGTTGATGTGTATTGGATGCATGGCATGATTTGTTTACTTTTGAACTTTGGCAAAAATCAAACATTTCTGCTACTTTGAGCTAAATTTCAAGGTCCTTCTCATTATGAAACCAATCAAAATTATATATCATCTCAATTTCTGTAATATAGTCTTCCATTTCTATAAAATGAGACCAGGAAAACTAAAATACAACCATAAATACCATATGAAAATATACTGCAAAGTCACTGTTTTAAACCAAAAACATGGTCAGAGTTTTTTTTTTTCTCATGCACTGTATGCTGCAGGAATTTTTTATACTGTGCACACTGACCACATAGACCCATTCTTTCATATGTAGGCCTACCAGCTTTCTCTCACTAGATTTGAAGGAGCTAGAATTTAGATGAATGGTTCAAAGAACCGACATGTTGTTAAATTAGACACATGTGCAACTCTTGGGTATATTCCTCAATAAAGATCCCAAGAGTTGCACATGCGTCTAATTTAACAGCTAGAATTTAGGAGTACTAGTACGGCACCAACCCTGAAAGGGTTAAACAATGTATGTAATTTATAAATAAGGAATATTTACATTTTAATTTATAAATAAGAAATCATTCTTTTTTCTTTTAATGCACCGGCCGTATCCCACCAAGGCAGGTTGGCCCAAAAAGAAAAACAAAAGTTTCTCTTTTTAAATTTAGTAATTTATACAGGAGAAGGGGTTACTAGGCCCTTGCTCCTGGCATTTTAGTCGCCTCTTACAACACGCATGGCTTACAGAGGAAGAATTCTGTTCCACTTCCCCATGGAGAAATAAGAAATATTTACATTTTAATTTATAAATAAGTAAGTTTATTCAGGTATACACAAATACAGTTACATAGATTATCATACTACATAGCAGCATATGTGTAAAGTACCTAGGATAACCCAAAAAAGTCAGAGTGACTTATGTATTTCCATTGGGGTCCTTTTATATTTACACTTAATATATTTACTTTTATGCTTACACTTTTATATTTACACTTACCTTGGAGATGTTAGTTTAATTAGTTAGTTTGATGGAGGAGATGCTGGCAGAGGTTTAGGGTAGTGGAAGATAGCAGGTCGGCGGATGTACACATATCCAACAACAATGGAGAGTTACTTTCTTGTTACTTACTTGCTACACTGTTAATTCTACACTTTATCGCTGGCTGGCACTATAGTCTTTATCGATACCTGCTGCTTTAGTATAGTACATATTGCAGAATCAATGAATCACTGCAGAAGGCACATTCAGCCCCTCTCTCTTCCTCCTCCACTCTGGTACTTTGCTATGAGTTTTTTCTTGAATTTTATTGTTTCTTTCCTTCTTTATCACAGGGCTGGCACTAGAAACTTTCTATGGGCCCATGGTGGCTTATTTAGCAGTTCTTTCTTTCTTTCAACACACCGGTCGTATCCCACCGAGGCGGGGTGGCCCAAAAGGAAAAACGAAAGTTTCTCCTTTTACATTTAGTAATATATACAGGAGAAGGGGTTACTAGCCCCTTGCTCCTGGTATTTTAGTTCCACTTCCCCATGGAGGTAAGAGGAAATAAACAAGAACAAGAACTGGTAAGAAAATAGAAGAAAACCCAGAGGGGTGTGTATGTAAATGCTTGTACATGTATGTGTAGTGTGACCTGAGTGTAAGTAGAAGTAGCAAGACGTACCTGAAACCTTGCATGTTTATGAGACAGAAAAATGGACACCAGCAATCCTACCATCTTGTAAAACAATTACAGGCTTTCGTTTTACACTCACTTGGCAGGACGGTAGTACCTCCCTGGGCAGTTGCTGTCTACCAACCTACTACCTAGATTATTTAGCAGTTACAAGAACTAAAAACACTGGAATAATACAAAATATATCGCAGGTACACTTGGAATCAACTGAAACGGCTTGTAAACACTGGCACCCTGGCTGTACATGGAGTCTTGGAGTGGCTGGGCTCACTCAGGCCTCGCTCCGGCCCCATGAACAAGTTCAGGACGAACGTCATTAGATAAGTTTTTCGCCGTTGGCAGAGCCATTTTTTTATGCCAAAGAGCGCCGTTAGACGAATTTGCCGTTACTTGATGCCGCCGTTAGTTGAGGGTCCACTGTATATTTTTATTATTATAATGGGGAAAACATTAAAAACCCCTTTGGAAAATTTTTAAAACGCCTGTGGGGGGGAGGAGATGGAAGGGATTCAGGCTTAAAATTTTAAAGGGAATGGAGCCAAAAATTTCAATTCCCCATCAAGAGCCCCTCAAAACCCGTGTCAAAGGGAAACCCCCCTTTAGGAAAACCTCGCATCCCGAATTTTTTGGGTCATACCCAAAACAAAAAAAATGAGCAACCCGCTCTTTTCCTGCTTAGGGATGGAAAAAAATTTAAAAACTCAAAGGAAAAACTTATACAAAAAACCCAAAAGCGTCACCAATAGAACGAAAGGGAAAAACGTTTAGAACCGGGGAAAAAATTTTTGTTTGCTGGGCATTTTTTTATAAAAGGGGCCCAAAAAAAGACAAAGAAACCGACAGCCAGGGGAAAATGACAGGGTGGGTACTGGGGAAAATTTTAAAAAAAAGGGAAATAACGCCGATGGTGACACTCTTCAAATCGCTAGTGCTCCCTCATTTAGAATATTGCTCAGTGCTGATGGCCCTGTTCAAATCAGGAGAAATATAAGGGCTGGAACAAATACAGAGATCATTTACAGCTCACACTGAGCCAGTAAACCACCTAAATTACTGGGAACGCCTTCAAGTCTTGAACATGTACTCATTGTGTGGAGGAGAGAGAGATACACGTGATAATATATACCTGGAAAGTACTCGAGGGCCTGGTCCCAAATCTGCACACTGCCATAACAACATACTGGAGTGAGAGATATGGGAGGATGTGTAAAATAAACCCAGTGAGGAGCAGGTGTGTGGTGGGGACAATAAGGGAACACTGTATTAACATCTGGGGTCCCAGACTATTTAACATCTTACCAGAAGATATCAGAAACACAGCTGGAACAAGTGTAGAAGCCTTCAAGAGGAAACTGGACAGGTATCTTCACAAAGTGCCAGATCAACCAGGCTGTGATGGATATGTGGGGCAGCAGGCCTCCAGTAGCAACAGCCTGGTAGACCAGGCAAGTTCCAGACGAGCCTGGCCCATGGCTGGGCTCTGGGAGTAGCTAAACTCTAGAAACTCTTCAAAGGTATATCAAAGGTAAGGTTGTAAGTTCCTATGGGTGAGTTATTTGTGTATTGTTCCAGTCACAGTATTGTGCCCTTTTGTTATTTACTGGTATATAATTTGTTAACCTCAGCAAAGAGATTTTCAGGACAGCATATGGCATGTCAGACCTAATACAGCATAGTCAGCACCAGAATTGAGTCCTCACCTGAGAACTCATGTCCAGAAAGTAGAAAGTCCATAATCAAGTTTATATAGGCCTAAGACCATATGACCACAAAGAATAACATGCCTATCAACCCTACCACCAGGCAAAATGTGACAAAATTTTAAATACAGGTCCACATCCCTTTATCCGAAATTCTGAAATTCGAAAAGTTCCGAAAACCAAAGTTTTTTTGTGGAGTGTTAGTCATCTTCGTGCTGGGTCACACCGCCACGTGGCAGCGTTGAGAATCATCTTGAAATTTGAAAAAGTCTGAAATTCGAAACAATACAGGCCCCAAGGGTTTCGGATAAAGGGATATGCACCTGTACTTGTAAATTCAGTAGGACATGGAAATTACATATAACAGGTTTCTGGACTGTCACACAATTTCCATATAGTACATGTACAATAAAACAGTTTGGCAAAGGATACCATAAAAATAGAATAAGATACACAAAACTGGGTAAGTATTGAACAGGATAAAGGTAGTGTGTGTATATATATAACAATATGACACAAGCAATTTAACACCAAAACGCTCTAGTACTGTACTCACGTCATAAGTGAGGCCTCCTCTAACAAGCCTTGGGCTGCTCTGCTGCTATCCTTTAATCTCTTGACAGCCACCTTCTGTCCTAACCAGTCACCAAGCAATACATCACCAAATTCTCCTTTTCCTATAGAGTCCAGCAACTGAAATAGTCAAAGTTAAATTTATTTAAATAATGGATAGAATATATTCATGCAAATCAATACAAAAATCAATAAATTTCTTTTTGGGAGCATTTACACACTCCTGGAATTTAAAATGCATATCATTTATTATTAGTTAAGAATGTGAAATGTAATAAACTACAGCAACTGGAATAGTGTTGGTGATATCCAATGTTACTGGTAATAATTTTTTTGCCCTACTCTGAGAAGGTGCATTGATACACAACACATCTTGCCCCTAAACAAGGAATATAATACAAACAAATGTATATGAGAGAGACTTTTGTAACAATAGGTACATAACCTATTGTGGAAATGGTGTCCACCAGGGGTTTATCCTATAAACACAAAGAAAAAGAGAAACACAGTAATACCCCTGTTACCATGGGGGATCCATTCTAAGACCTATCAGTACGCTGAGGTCAGTGGTCACGTGTGGTCATATCTGGGATTTAGCATGGGGTGTTATCTAGCACCATGGCTTGTTGTAGTGTTTTAGAATCTCACGTTAAAGTGTTGAAGGAGGAGGTTCTACCTCTTCAGGAGGAAAATAGGAGGCTGAAGCTTCATCTAGATGGGTTTGGGAGTGAGTGTAGGATGGTTGTAGCTGGTAAGGAGGAAAAAGTTACCAGCAGCCACTTTAAGTGGCAAGTGGTTCACAATTCAAGAAGAAGGATGATAAGGAAGGTTAACAGAGAAGATGTGAAGGTAGGAAATCGATTCTCTGTTCTCCAGGATGAATGTACTTCAGTGGTTAGTGAAGTTAAAGGTACCACTGATGCCCCTGCTTATCAAGGTAAGAATATTCTAATTGTGGGAGATTCTCAGGTGTTGGTGACATAGTCAGCAGGTTGGATAATATTATGTCAGGCAATGGGAACAAGTCCATTATCTGTCTTAGTGCTGGTGGAAATGACATCGAGAAGGGCAGGAGACAGGAGCTGCTGGATAAGTACAGGTCAGCCATAGAAGTAATCAGGTCTAAGGGAGGGATCCCAATCATATGTAGCATCTTGCCTAGAAGGGGAGTGGGCAATGAATGGATGTCTAGGGCAATTGGTATAAATTGCTCACTAGACAGGTACTGCAAGGAACTTGGAACCCCATTCATTGATAATTGGGACTTATTCTATGGCAAACATGATATGTATGCAAAGGATGGGGTTCATCTTTGGGGTTGGAGTGGTTGCATTAGCCAATTCGACTGAGGGGGTTATTGTGACACATCTAGGACTTTAAGGAGGCGACGAACCTTTTTTTAGCGATAAAAAATTGAAATTGAAAAATTATGGAAAACAGTTTTCTTACCAAAAAAAAAAATAGTTCATAATTCTGGCAACATGTTGATGGAATTAGCTTGTTTCTATCATATTTCTAAGTATGCTTTTCCACAAATGTAATTTCTTTGTTCTTGCTGTTAGCAAGAGGACATGTTGGCAATTAGTGTTTTTTTTTTTTTCTTTATTCCAAAAATTATGATTTTTATGATTATTTCGTTCAAAATAATCTACAAGCCATCTTCTGTGAGGACTAGAGTGAAAAGAGCAGTGAGATTGTCCCTCAGTAGCCTGCAGGCTGTCAACAAGGACTGAGGGGTGCAACATGCTCAGATTTGGCGGGACATAACCATAGAGTTTTACATAAAACATATGTACGTAATTAGGAATAACTCAGGAATAAGTTATTGGCATTGTTTTCCCTCTCATTCGAAGAGTATTATTTATAGGAACATCATGATTTTTTCACACGTTAATGAGGAATGATGGTTCTATTGAATTACATAGAAGGTTTGCAATATGCTTTACCGTTTTCTTTTTATTGAATTTTTCTCCCAAAAGAGTTCTTAAAAAAAAAAAAAAAAAACATGTATTTCAACATTTTGTATAAAGCAATCTATTGATATTTCACTCAAACGTCCATGTAATTAGATTACCTAACTCGTTATCTTTCATCTGATGTCAACTAGAACATTGTAAGTCTTACCAGTTTTGTAGAAGGATAGATTTGAGCCTACAGAATAGGACACTATTAATTTTATTATATCTAACTGTAAGGAAAAAAGTCACTAAAAACACAGTGTCTAGGTTTCAAATGCTGCTTAATTCACAATAAAAATTCAATTGAAATTTAACCAAAAAAAAAAAAAAGACGATTTGGCTCGTCACCCCCTTAACCCCTTCAGGGTCCAAGGCCAAAATCTGAAGTGGTGCCCCAGTGTCCAAGAATTTTAAAAAACAAACTTTGTTATTTTTTCTTATGAAATGGTAGAGAATCTTTTTGCGAAGGTAATAAAACAAAAAGTACGAAATTTGATGGAAAATTGACGAAATTATGCTCTTGCAAATTTTGATGTGTCAGCGATATTTACAAATCAGCGATTTTGCCGACTTTGACTCCCATTTTAGGCCAATTACATTATTCCAGTCGACCAAATTCTTAGCTATTTCACTAGTTTTACTTCTATTCTATCGATTGAGCACAAGAAATCGCCAAGTCAACTGTTTCAACTACAAAATAAAGTGATCGGAAATTGGTAATTTGGCCAATTTAACACAAAGTTCAAAATATTCCAATTTCAAAATAGGGTCCAGAATAAACAATGTAGGTATTCCTGGCACTAAACTAACATTTCCTCTGTTCATTAGTTACGTTTTGAGGCTTTACAAATAAATTCCATTTTTATTTTTTATTCACATAATGAATTTTTATTCACACCAAAAAATAGAAGATTTACTGTTATGCAATATTGTAATAATTGTATAAATATCATCACCACATTTGTGAATGTATATTAGACCCACCAGCTGGCGTGTATTAGACGTGTGAGGTCGTTTGTTTACTCTTGAACATCAGCAAAAATTTAATATTTCCGCTACTTTGAGCTCAGTTTCAAGCCATTTCCAGTGCTAAAACCAATCAAAATCATCTCTATTTCCATAATATGTCTTCTATTCTATCAAATGAGACCAAGAAATCGCAAATACAATTATAAAAAACATACGAAAAAACACTGCAAAGTCGCTGTTTTAATCGAAAATCACGGTCTCAGTTTTTTCTATTATACACAGTGTGCTGCAGGATTTGTTTTATGTGGTGCACACATACCACATAGATGTATTCTCTCATATCTAGGCCCAAATTTACCACTCACAGTTTATCAGTGAGCTGAGCTCATGGCGTAGATCTACGGTCTGGACCCTGAACGTAAAGCCGTAGATCTACGGGACGGACCCTGAAAGGGTTAATGTTTTTTTTATGTACATGCCTATGATAAAGCTGAACTGATAAATTACACACAGTAAGTCAAGAATTAGCACTTTTTTTGACTGATACTTTTACACTGTGGTGTCATTAAGCAAAATTAGGGTTATTTTGAGGCCAGGGTAAACTGCGAATAACTGAAAAAGCTGAAACCGGACCTGCAGATACAGTGGTCTTACTGTATATATTAGCATGGAGGTTACTTGTACCATAGGCAGAGTGCACAAAATGGTTTGTGACAGCCTGACAGCTGTGTCCTCACAGCCTAAAGTGAATTTAGCCAAAACTCTGGGAACATTAAAGCTGCATGTGTTCTGCACAGTTGTAGTGCAAAGACAAATGACCACAAATTCTAAACCACAGTATGTAAATACTCAGGGTTGATGATAACATCACTCCACTTCAACAAGTGATCATGGCTACTCCTATGAATAATACAGGCATTATTAACACTGTCAGTACAGCAGGTGTAATTATGCTTATTATCAAAGGTGTGAATCTCTAGTTGTCTCTGCCATATATAGTATCTTCTTGCATCTTCCTTATGGTATAACAAACTCCAGCTTTGGTTTCAGCTAGGGTTGTGGATTTCCTACTAGTGAAGTCTTTAACCCTTAAACTGTCCAAACATAGATCTACATTTTTCAACATTTGAAAGTATGTAAAAAAAGTAGATCTTCTTTTTTTTTTTTTACATTTGAAAATGTGTAAAAAAACTTTGATCTACTTCTTTTTTTTTTTTGTTATATTTGAAAATATATAAAAAAATGTAATCTACTTTTGGAGCACTACGCATGTGAACGTAGATCTGCTTGAACAGTTTAAGGGTTAATGATAATGCTGGGTAGCAGTGGCTATACTGGAAATATTATTAACCATTTTACTGATGGGCAGGATGACAAATCTTTCTGGAGATGTCAAGCTTGGGGGCACTGATGATCCACAGAACACTTTTTTAAAGGAGTTTGACAAAGCATTACACTTAAAAAATAAAATGGCTCCAGATGATTTAGCTCCACACTTACTTGTACAGTACAAAAGTCATTCAATCTGCCAAACAGCCAAACTTGTATACACTATAATATTCACTATGCTGCATGCCATACCCTATATGTAATTTTAATTAATGGTTAGTGAAACTGACCAGCTGGTCAGGTGGGCCATGATGTTCACTGTAGCAAAGTTTTACAAATTAAAATATTAACAGCCCCATTTCATCTATACTCAACACATGCAGCATTCTGTTGCCTTCTCCAATTATTAACAATAAAACAAAATGCTGGATGCTGTTCATTGGTGGACAAAATGTAATTATAGTTCCTCTCCCATGGCATAATGGGTACCCTCTCTTAACTCCTCCTCATATTTACAATGACTCTTTTTCTCTTTCCTTTCAAAAAAATAATAATGCCAGTTTATCCACTGTCATATACAATGAACACTTACTACTATGTAGCCTTTCTTCTTCAATTATTTAAAGCAAATAAGGAAGTTTACATGAAAATTGGGCCACACCTCAAAAAAAGAATGAGCACAGCCCCAACAGTTACTTTTCTCTAGGATGGGGATCGAAAACAGTTAACGTTTTCATAAGAGAAAGTAAATGTTACATGTGGGGTTGTTAGATTACATCACCAAAAGTATAATGGGACAATTCAATTCAATTCAAAGTTTATTCTCTATAAGGATTACAATGCTGAGTTTACAGAATTTGGGTA